AATAAAGCATGACTCGAATCTACAAATACAAATAGAAATATAAATTTAATTAACTCACATGTAAAATTTAGACCAAGGAATATAAATTTCTACAAAAAAAAGACAGATTTTAATTAGCTAGAATTTAGAATCCTGTCAAGTTCTACACAGTAGGAAGCAAAACCAAATAATGGGCATAAGTAAAGGAAGAGAGACTCATAACACAAAATGAGTTTCCATGGTAGAGATGAACATGGACATACAGAAGACATGTGACATCCACAAGTAAAGAGACATATAGAATGGGAGAAAACTACCCAAAATACAAGAATAAAACTTCCAAAGACAGAAATAAGAGAAATAAGCTTTCATGGTACTTTATATAGAGTTTTAGGAAATTACCACCAAATACTTCTCATTAGGACACATTTTCCCAACTATAAGTATAAATGAGGATTTAGCTTTGATACTTGCCTATGAATTGGATGAAACTGAGGCCCAGATGTCTTCCATCCGTGTTTTTGATTATGCTAAACACACAATCATTAGAGAGCACCTGGATGACTCAACAATTCAACTTTATATTTAAAAATCAGGTGACATCTGTATACTGCCTTAGACTTTAGAAAATTTAGTATTTTTTTTTTTTGATGTCAGAAGTTTGATAAGTAATGAAAAAATCAGTTTTGCTGTAAAGCAAACGTTCATTTTATAATAGGCAGATTGAATCTCCATGATGATGAAACAACTGTTTGAAAAGTGAAAGCTGCATATTTTCCACATATCAAATTAGAAACTGGATTGTTTCCCCTAAATTGAATTTGACATTAGGTAGACGACCAAAATATATAATACAGTTTATTAGATATTGTGCAGAAATTACTGCAGTTCACATGCATGGATTTAATTATGAAGTAAGTGTCAAATACCCCATTGGGGATTATGCTTCAGCATAATCACTAAAGACATGGAAGGAAAGTATATAAAGACTAGGAAGAGAAATCGTCAAAATGTCAGCATGAAAATGTATAGTATATTAATCATCATGTGCAAATCTTCAACTGGTAGTAAGTTATAATAGTAAAAAAAACCCTATAACTATCAGAAAAAGTTGTGATGGTCCATAAATGTTTGATTACATATTTGTTGAAAGCTATCACTTATTTGCTATAGTAAGGAACGTCATGTAAGTTATATTACAATATCCATAAATTAATTTGAAAAATTGCACATTCTTTAAAAACAATCAAGGGAGGAGTAATAGATACAAAGATCTTTATGCAAAAAAAAGTGTTCAGTTTGAACAGCAGAGAAAAATGTACTGTCTACAGAAAGGGTGGGGCAAAAGTAGGTCTACAGATGTTCATATGGAAAATAACACAATAATAAATAATAATACAAGTATAAACTCTGTTTCACATACTCACAACTGTAAACCTATTTTTGCCCCTCTCTGTATATTGAATGAATGCCCCATTAATCAGGTTACCATTATAGTGGCTCAGTAATAAAACATGCCCTTGTGGTGTATTAATCTAAATATATATCTCCTTACTAACATACATCTTTCTTTCTAGATTATTTCCTCTAGGTTATCAAACTGTTGACACATATACTCATTTCAAAGCTGCACTTGGTGCCATGAACTTTTGAAGTTCCCCTCCATCATGCAAACCAGAGGAAGGGAATGATATATAACAGAACGTTAATGAGCATTAATATGATTTGTTTTGCATGCTCCTCAGTTTGGGATGTTAGAAAATCTTAATTACATTTACTATAAAACAAAGCTTGAGGGTTGAATCTGATTTCACAGCAGACCATTTCCCAGTGAGATATTGTCAATTTACTTCAACTGATGCATATGGTCTGCAACTTCAGAGCTCCAAACAACCTACTAGGTGTTTCATTCACTTGAAATCAGAGCTCTGGCCCTAGTAACATTCTTTGAAACTCTCACAGCAAAACCAAAATAATGGGAAACACGAAGATGCTGCCTTTAACTGATTGCTTAAAAACCCACAGTATTAGACTAGAAACATGGTGCAAACTTGTTGAAAAACTGCCTTTTCTATTGATATTGTTTCAAATATATTTCTGCAATAAACATGCTCATTAAGGTTAATTGGTACGGCTTGTTTGACTTATGGGAAAAAGTTTTATAACAACATATACAATATAGCTATCAGATTTGAACTCTAACCCAAACTAGAAAAGACTAACATAATAGTGAATGATACACTGGTATTTTCTTTAACACAATTTACTTTCATTCATTACCAGAACTGCTAATTACAAATTAGCAGTCAGCCAAAGGTAAATTTGCACAATTTTCTCTTGAGAAAAGCAGAAAACTATGGAGCATAAAAACAAGTCAAGAAACACACAATTCCAAATTATCTAAATTACTGATAACTCAATTTCTCCATGTTTCTAAGTTCTTGGTAAAAAATGGTTCATTTATCAACTGAGTGTTAAATTTAAAATAATATCACACCAATTTTAGAAAATTCTAAAATGACACCTTACACTATATTTGCATACTATTAAAACAGTTGCTTAGAAAATGCAAAATGTCTATTGACATTGAAGGCCATTGTTAATGTATTTTCTTCAAGTAGTTTTTAAAACTTAATTGAACTGGGTTCTGGGTTCTAAGTAAAGCCTTGAATACAGTTGGTAGATTACACTGTCTTTTTTGATACTGGTAAAACTCCAATTATAAAACAAATTTTAGTTTTATATTTAATAGGACTTTGTTTTTGAACTTCTTTTAATTTGAATTTCATTAATTTTTCCGCTAAGTGTGCTTAAATCCATCATTTATGCATATTATTTCTTACATATTGATTTAAAAATAATTTTAAAGTCCTAAATGGTACTCTGGTTGCAGTTTTATGCAACAAATAAAGCATGTAATAGCAGTTTGAATTTTAACAGCTTATATAGTCTAATACATTTCTGCACAAACTTGTATTTCTGAGTATAAACATGAAAAACTTTCCTACACTTGGACAAAAATGTCACATTATGTGGCTTTCTGATTGCCACTTGGATAATGGCATAAACTTTTTTTTCCCTAAAGTAGTTGGGATAGATTTTGCAGCGGTACAATAAAGAGCAGTTTCCCAGCTATGCAAAGTTAGTCTAGAGACTGTACTTTAACCATACTTTTTAAAATTTGCAGGTTCAATTAAATGAAACATAAAAAAGTTATGTCATCAAATAACTTTATTCTGCTTTTAATTACTGTATTTTTAGATATAGTTCATATATTTTATCTAGTTTCTTTTAACAATCACAAAATTATAGTTATAAGGAAACTATCTTCAACACCTTAGATACTAAATTTTATATATAATATGTAATTTTTCTCTTAATAACCACAAAGTTAAATTGATAAGGAAACTACCTTCATCACTTCATCTGTTTGGATACTAAATGTTCATAGCTGTCAAGAATAGCTAGTAGACTCATTCAAAATTGCCATTTTTCTTTTTCTACCAAGGGTATTCTCTTTCTCATGAAAGAATCATTTCAACTTTTCTGAGTCAAAAGCCCTTGATCTCTTCATACTGCCAAGAAAACCTCTTCTGGCTCTAAGGTTGATCCCACACTATGCCTCAGATGTGAGAGTTTCTGTAACTCTTCATAGAAATGATTCTCAAGGATCTTGGTTTAGATTAAGATTACGCATTTACATGTATGTTAAATGTTACTCTAACGTCTTTCTTATTCCTTGCTAGAAAAACTGCCACAATTTAGCTAACCCCAATTGCCTTTCCCTGGTAAAGCACCCTGAAGACTCAGTCTAATTTGTCATTAAGTAGTTCCAAAATCTCTAATGAGAGTAACTGGTTCTAAGGCATGTTTCCACAATGATTCTAATATTCATTTGCTACCTTGTCCCAAGTTAACAGAGTAAAAATGCTATTTCTTATGAGTATAACAGTAATTTTAATCCCAATTATGTTGATATTTGTGCTTGACTTGCTACAGTAAGTCTCAGGTACAACCCTCACAGCTTGTAAGAACTTACCCTTCACTTTGACTTTAAACAAAAGGCAAACTTTTGTTTGTAAATTGGGAAATTGTATCAACTTATATAGTACACTTCTATTACCATGAAAAGATTATTGAGTTCCACTGAAATTTGGCATTAATGATGCTAGCTTAACATATTTAACAAAATTTAAAATGTTTCTGTTCTTTGCTAATTCTAAATCAGAAGATTAAGATTTCAGTTTCAGGTTTAAAAACTCAAATATTAGAAAACATCATGGAACCAGTAGAGTTGAGACTTGAAAAAAGCACTTGTAAACTTTAAAATTTCACATTTTAGAATCAGGAGAGAAACCTAGATATGAGTATTCCTGGCCCCTCCCTGAGAAAATCTTAGTCTACTTCAATGATTAACAAAATCCCAAGATACAAAATGGAACTATATACTTCCAGGCCCAGCCAGAAACGAGGCTATTGTAAAACAAGACTTAAGCTTTGCACAGCAAAATGATTCAGACGAAAACAAGACGACGTTGTATACCATGATGGGGCTGAAATGCAGGACTGATGCCTCTTTCCCAGGCAGAGACAAACCTGAACAAGGGCCCCCAGCTTATCTATTAACTCTCCAGCAATCTCACCTGTGAACAGATCCTTGCGTCGCTAGGACCTTTCCAGACACCAGCATAGCTGGCTGCCAGGAGGAAGCGAAGCTGGAGTAAGACCTGTTTCTAGAGCACCGACAAATGGGAAGCCACAGGGAATTCTCCAGGTCAAAAGTCCCAAGGCCGCATAAGTTAGTGACGCGGGGTGTGACTGGGAAATCTTGCCCTATCTTCTTTATCGCAAAACAGACCCTGCCCTACTTCCGCCATCCATGCACCCAATACACTTCCCCAGAACCTTCCACACCAAAGAAGCCTCGGACACAAGCAGCCTCCAGGAGCCTCCAAATTCCTGGTGAAACCTGACCTCTTTGTGAAGCCTCCCGGAAGAAGAAAAGATCAAATGAGACCGGCTCAGCGGGGTCTTCCCGAGGTGACCCCCGGAGTTAACGTATTTATTTTCACGTTGCAACTGCTGATTGCGTTACATAGACATTTCATGCTGTAGCTCTGCATGGAGCCGAGGACAAAAGTAACATTTTTTATTAATGTTGTAATTATTATAGTTATCCTTTAACAAAGCTATTAAATAACCTGTACAAAGCCGGGCCCTGTCCTAACAAAAAAACCCCCAGCACTATTTCAACTCTCCCAAGGTTCTCCCGCTTTAATCCAGCAACGTTTCCTATACACAAGGTCAGCTCAGGGCAGTCCCCACAAAACGGTAGGTCTCCCAGACGGTGGGAGTGGTTCGGGGCTCGAAACCGCCCTGTCGTGGCACAGAGCCCTCCGCCCCACCTCCCCTGCTTCTCCTGGGCACAGGGGTCCCTGTCCGCCGGCCGGGCCAGGGAACCTGGAGGCAGACAGCAGGGAGGGGTAAGGGCCTCTGTTGGGACTCCCCTCAGCCAGCGGCCCCCAGGCCCCCCGGGAGAGGTGCTGGGGAGTGCGAGGTGGGAAAGGCCTAGACTCCCCCCGGCTGGGCTCACAGATCCCGCGGGTCCTCCCGCTTGACGCCGGCCTCAGCAACTCTGAGCTTCTTATTCTGGTGCGTCTTGACGTGCTTGGCGAGGTGGTCGCTGCGCATGAAGCGCTTGCCGCACTCGGGGCAGGCGAAGCGCTTCTCGCCCGTGTGAGTCCGCAGGTGCCGCTGCAGCTCGTCCGAGCGCGTGAAGCTCTTGCCGCAGAAGAGCCAGTTGCACACGAAGGGCCGCTCGCCCGTGTGCCAGCGCAGGTGCGCCTTCAGGTGCGACGTCTTGCCGTACACCTTGCCGCAGCCCGGCACGTGGCACACGTGCTGCTTCTTCTTGCCCGGCTCCGGCTCCGGGGCGCCGCCCGCCGCCTGGCAGTTGGGGCAGCGGCAGCGGCGGCACCTCCTGGCCGTGGCCGCCAGGGGGGCCTTGGTCTGCAGCAGCGCGGCGATCTGGCTCTGGTACTGCGCAAAGTCCGACGGACCCAGCACCAGGCCCCGTTGGAGGGCGGCCGCGGCGGCGGCGGCAGCGGCGGCGGCCGAGGCAGGGAAGCGGGGCGCGTGGGGCCCGCCGGCACAGGCTCCCGACAGGCTGCCCCCCGGAACCCCGGCGGTCCCCGGACCGGTGCCCGCCTGCGGGATACTCCACCATGGGAGGTCGTCGGGGGCTGGGTTGGGGGACAGCTGTCGGCACGTGGGAGGCGGCGGCGGGGGCGGCGGGGGCAGCAAGTTGGAGTAGCCGGGCGGCAGCGCGGCCTGGGCCGCGTAGGGCACGTAGGCAGGCGCGCAGCTGGCGGGCAGCGCCGCCATGCTGGAGGGCAGCATCTTGACGGGTGAGAATTCGTAAGGGTACGAGGGGTCGGCCGGGGGGGTGAGCGGGAGCTCGTGCGCCGCCCCGAAGGACGGCTGGAGGTGCGTTTTCTGCGGCGTCAGCCCCAGGCTGGGGTGTGGGGGCGGCAGCGCGCCCGGCGAGTGCGCCGGCATGTCGGAGGTCCACGGGTGAAAAAGCCTGGAGGGCGAGCCCAGCGCTGGGTCGTAGGGCACCTGCAGGAAGTCCGGAGGCGCCGCAGCGCCCGGCTGGCCGATCCGGCTACAGGTGGCGGCTAGCAGCGCCAGGGGTGAGTGCTTGCCCAGGTCCGGGGAGGCGCTGGGGGTGCGGTCCTGCATGGGCGGCGGCCGGGGAGGGCGGAGAACAGACAAAGGTTAGCGCTCCCAGCGCGGTCTCCAGGCCAGCCCGCCACCCCCTCGCCAGCTATTATACTGCCGCCCCTCCCCCGTGCCGCTGCCCCTCCCCCGCCACCGAACCCCACGCGCGCACCCACCAGTCCCGGGAAACTTTTGGTGCCTGCGCTACCTGCACGCGGAGCGCACGAGGGCTTCCTGTTAAGTTACTGTACTTGGTTCACGGAGACGCCACCCAGTCTTAGAGGACCCAGGCACCGAGTGGGAGGGGAGCGGGATCCGACCCGCAACTCCCGGTTCCGCGGTCAGAAAGGGCCTGGAAACACCCACAGCCGGACTGCCCCTACTCCCTCCCTCTCATCTTTTAAGCTGTTTCCACGCTACTCTCGGGCTCCTCCCCTGCCCCCTCCCCCGCCCCCGGTTGAAATCAGCAGGGCGGCCCAGCTGGGTCAGCTAGGGCCTTGTTCTCAGCCAGAGGCACCCCCGTACCACCACCACCGGACCCGCGCGTCCCTCCCCCCAAGGCCACACTCTTGACACCAAGGTTAGGTGCGAAGTTGGCGTGGGCACCCCCCTAAGTCTGACTCCAGCGACATCCACGGCGCACGGCTCCTTTTGAGATTCAGGGTACGCAGAGTACCGGGGGAAATCGAGACCCGCCCCTCCCATCTTTCCCTCGCCCCCTCCGAGCCCAGCCCTGACCTGGAGGAAGGCCTGCAGGGAGTCGTTCCGGAGGACGGCAACGGCGGCCATGGCTACAGTTTGCCGGCGGTTGGCTGCCGAGCTGGGCGCAGCCGAGGCATGGAGACCCCACGGCAGGACGGACGGCCCCCGAGTCCCTCGCCGGCGCTCGCCTGTGCACCGGGGCTCTACCTACCCGCGACCCTGGCCGCACCCCGCGCGCTCGCCCTGCGCGAAGTCTGAGCGCTTCAGGATCACCTCCAAGAATTTGATAAGGACTTTGCTGGGCCGCCAGCCAGTCAGAGGGAAGATTTATGGCTTTGAAGTTTGCCGCTACCCAATCATCAAAGAATAGCGGCTCTTTCAGAAGCGAAAGCAAATCCTTTGAATCCACAAAGCTCCTATGGTGTGTTTGTTGGTCTGGATAAAAGAACTGATTATTAGGGGGGATGGGAAGGGAGGAGATAAAGGCGGGACAATTAATGAAGTAATCACTATGTGGGAAATGTATATACACAAATAATTGGATTTTCCTGATCAAAGGGGGCCTTGCCGCCTGGAGACCCGCGCTCGGTGGCTTGAGACACTCTACCCCCCTCCCCCCCACTTCCCTGCAATTAAAGATTTGCACCGAGGCTGCGCCCAAAGTGACAAAGTGTCTTTGTTATCTCCAGAGAAATCTGCCCTCGTCTTCCAAGCTCGGACTTTGAGACGGAGATGAGGGTAATTCTTCCCTCCCCGGTACTTACACACCTCACGCCGGAACTGCGCGCACACCGCGGACCCGAGGGAATTCCCGGGGCGGGGCGTGGGACTCACCTCGCCCCGCCCGCCGCGTGTCCCCCTGCGCGCCTCAGTGAAGCCGCGGGCTGCGCTGTGACCCGAGGCGGGGCGGGGCGAGGCGGGACGGGGCGGCCGCCCAGAGCCGCAGTGGGTGGCGCGCACACTTCAGGGCCGCCCGCCTGACAAGCTCCTGGGCCCTCTTGAGACCTTCCTACTGGCGACCTGGAAGTTTTCTAGGGCCACAACTTTGCAAATAGTCTGGGGAAAACACCGTGCCCACGCGTTTACTCCCAAAGCCGAGCAACCCAGAGTATACACCCGAAGGAAGAAATGCTGTTCTCTAGCCCTTCTCTCTCCAGGCCCGTAGCCCCGGACCCCGCAGTGGGAGGAGGCTCGCTATTAGGCCCTACCAAAAGCCCCCCACGGTGCTGGCAATTTCACCCCCTCCCCCCTCACCCCCCATCCCTGCTACCGGAGTGTGCGCTGCTGCGAGCCGCACAGACCTACCCGGGAACTCTACTCGGAAAAGTACTAGTAAGGCGCGGCCGAGGAAGCCTTTTGTTGTTGAACAAACTACAATAGCACGCACCAGGACAAATACATAGTCCTCTAATCGGAAAGACAAGTCCATTAAAAAGGTTGTTCTCATTACCTTTGGAAAGAAAAGAAAGTTCTTCAGGAGCGGGGCGTGCTTTGCCCGGGTCAGGGAAATGCTCCAGGTGTGTACCCCTCCCCCCTCAACCCTCGCTGGCCCTCCACGCCCAGCCGAGGAGGGACAGTCGGACACCTGCCTCCCTCCGGCCAAGAGTGCAAGGCGGACGCTGCGGGGGCTGTACAGACACCTGGATCTGCTCTCTTGGGGAGGAGGGGAGGGAATGAGGAAGAGGCGGGCGGGGAGCCGCGGGGTCCCCACTGCACTAGAAGGATTAGGGGCTGGGAATAGCTTCGGAGGCCTCCGGCGGGTAGCTGGGGCTGCTGGGCCTCCTGGGCCTGGTAGACCCAGACCCATGCCGGCCTCTCCCTCCGCAGAACGGGGTCCTCTCCCTGGTCCATCCAGGGCGGTGCAGGGATCTTCTGAGTCCTCTCGCCCGCAGCCTTCCAGCGCATAGTCCTCCCGGGTACCGCTCTGCGGCGGGACTGACGTGAGAGGACGGATAGGGTGACGGAACTCCAGCGGGCTTCGGATTCAGAGTCTGGGCGGTAGTATGTCGGTGCCCTCTGCATTTACCAAGGGGCCGGACACCACCCCATCAGGTCCAATTCCCCATGCCCAGGGCCCATCAGCGAAAAGAAACGTCTTGCTTGAGACAAATGGGCCGGAAGTGCCCCAAATACCGAGCACTTTGCACGTCCCGTCCTTGCACGCCCCTCATCTCTCCAGCAAGGTGTCACCCCGGGAACTCTGAGCAGTGACTACACAGCTCGGTGACGAGGTCTGGGTGCTATGGGAGAGGGGAAAGGAAGGAACTTAGTGCTTTGATCTGAGGCCGGGCAAACCTACCCCTTTCCACGCTCGGTCTAGTGGGTCGAGTCTCCGCGAAGCCTGGGACCAGTAGGAGCCCCTTTCCGGATACAAGTCAGAGGCCAGGGAGTCGCGTGGCGCACAGCCCTGCCGGTACCAGTCCGCACTGGGCAAGCGGTCTAGTCCCTTAGCGGGTGTCCTTTGGAAATCTTTTGAGCTCTCCGACACCCCCTGTCCCCGGGAGGCTGGGCCAAGCAGATTGGAGGCATTCGCACTTGCCGAATCTGTTCCCTATTGTGACCAAAAGGCAAGAAAGGCCAATCCACACTCTCTTGGTTGTTATAGGAGAGCACCTTTTCTCTGAGATGCCTCCACTTAGCCAAGAAACCTCCACCAGTGAAGCAGAGTGGTGGCTTTGGGTTAAGAGCTCGGACTCTGAAAATCTGAACCCAGATTTCCACTTTCTAGTTGGCAACTTTGATAAGCAAGTTACTCAAGTCTTTTTGTGCTTTAGTTTCCCAATGTGTGAAATGGGGGCTGTAGTAGTGCTCACCTGTGCGTGTAGGCTTAAAAGATGACTTGACATATGCCAAGTCTTTAGGACAGTGCTGGGACAATGCACAGTAGGCTCTGTGGTGAGTGTTGGAAATCCTTGCTCTTCGCCTCATCTCCATTTGTGAAAAGCCGCCGGGACTCCAGCCCTCCCAGGCGCGAGCTGGAGTCTGGAGAGACTGTTACAAACTGCTGTTTAGCCTCCCGCCCTTTGCATTCCGTGCTCCTGAAAAACTTACTCTTAATGAAGTAATGTTCGCAGCGACCATTAAAAAATGCAATGCCGGGAGATCAAAGTACAACGTTTATTTTAGAAATTTGTTGTCATCACCAGGAGACACAGGTATCAAGGCCAAATGTCAGTTGCGTTACACAAATCCCGGCGCCGGGAAGAGCGTGTGGCTGCTCTGCCATAATGTAAAAAGACATCAAAGACCTAGCGCGCTGCAAAAGTGCGCAGCGGGGAGGGGGGAGGGGAGGGAGGGAGCCCGGGAGGGCCCAGCGCGCTCCAGAAGGCGTGGGGCTGCGGCGGCGGGGGTCCGTTCAAAGAGCTATCCGTCGGGGTGCGAGTTCACAGGAGGGAAGATTTAATGGGCTTTCTTCTGTTGGTGGGTGTTTCTGCACAGGAGGACCCAGGAACTCCTCCGTGGTCCCCAGGGCGGAGGTGTGGGGGAGGGAGGTCGGCGAATAGGGCGCAAACTTTAACCCGGGCGCCGCGGGGAGGTTGTATAGCAGCCGCTGGTGCCGAGTTGCCCCACCCCGCTGCTCTCCAAGCAGCAGGCGTCCGAGGTGGGAAGTTTGCCACGCTGTTGCTTCGTGGGCGGGCGGCGAGCGCGGACCGGATGCCACCTGCAGGAGGCGGGTAGGTGACTCCGCGGAGGCCCTCGCGCGATGGCTGGGCCTGCTTGCTCTGCGCGCTCGGGCATCCGCTCCAGAAAGAAAAGTGTTTGCTGGGAACTCCCGGTTGCTAGTTCGCGACCGAGCCTGGTATCTTGCCTCAGGCATTTCCTTGCAGCAACCAGGGAATCATGCCTCTGGAATCAATCCGGTAAACCAGCTCCAGTTGATTCTCCCCCTCTCCCCCCACTTATTTAGGTCATTTCAACTAATTCTTAGTTCTTTGGATCTTTACAGCAGGGTGTTGCTTAAATGCCCAGATCTCGCCCGCTCTCTGCCGAAGGCCCAACCTGCCAGTTTCCTGCACCTGCCTACTTACAAGCACCACTCGTTGCTTTATGAAAGTGCTGGTAAGAAAGGGGGCAGAATTTCCCTGGTGCTCACGGGCTGTGCGTCGCAGGAGGATGCCTGTGCGTTTCTTTAGTCATTACAACCAACTATTCTGAGAGCAGTCACTCTGCAACCCTTTGAAGTAGCACCAGAGCAGAAAGCTCCTATTGTTCTCCGCTCTCAAGGAAGGGATCAAACTTTGCCTCTTCAATTTGAAAGATTTTTTAAATGGGGGTGGGGGGTGGGGGGTGGGGGGGGAGGGGTTGTAATCTCATACTCTAAATTAACTTAGAGATTTGGAGCCATCTTGCAGTTTGAGCTGCAGACCCAGTCACAGATGCCCTAAACAGGGACTCTATCACTAATAGGCCCAGTGAGTTTGGTGGCAAAAAAAATTATAATACTGGGATCTTTGGAAACACGGGCTTAGTTTTGGAACGTTCCCTCCACTGGAAATTTGAAGTTGATTTTAAGCTTAAACTTCAAAATTGAGTCAATATAGTATGGATGGAGGAGTAGAATTCTAGATCTAGGAGGATCTTTTATCTTATCCTCTTGGATTCCCCCATTTGATGGCAGGAGGAAATGGTGCTTGCATGAAATGTGTCATGCACTCAGAGCACACACATGCAGCAGGGACCCAGGAGAATACTGGTGAGAGCTGGAGGAGTTAAGGGACATTTATCAAGGAGCTGGGGCTTGGAGGAGCCTTTAAGGACCTATGTGGATTTTAATGGGGCACAGGGACAGGAAGATGATGAAGGGGGGAAAGGACAGCAAGGAAAGGGAACCCCCTATTCAGTGAGGAGCTGAATAAACATGGAAGATAAAGTTGTACACCTTTGATTTGCTGGTGTAGACAGCATGGGGCCAGATTAGAGAAGTCAGGGAGAGGAGCTTGGCCCCGATGCTGTATGTAGTAGGGATTTGTTGTAGGCTCTGGAGCAGGTGAATTACAGGAATTCAATTCCATTTCTTTCTTTCTTTATTTTTTTGGTGAGAGCCTGGAAGGATAGACACAGATGCAGTCAGGTAGGTGTGAGATTGTGAAGGCTTCGATTGGAAATTGGCCTGATAGTGAAAAGGTGGTAGACATATTAAAGGGAAAAAGAGCAAAACTTGATGATAGGTTGGAATGAGAGATAAAACAAAAGGAAAAATAAAAAATATCCCTCTTTTGAAAAATGGTGCTGGGACAACTGGATATCCACATGTAAAAGGATGATGTTGGACATCTTCCTTATACTTTACATAAAAATTAACTCTAAGTCCAGCCAGCATTGACCTATGAACCGGGAGGTCATGTTCGATTCCTGATCAAGGCACATGCCCAGGTTGCACATCCCCAGTGTGGGCCGTGCAGGAGACAGCCAATCACTGGTTCTCTCTCATCATTGATGTTTGTACCTCTCTCTCTCTCTCCCCCTTCCTCTCTGAAATCAATACAAATATTTTTTAAAATTAACTCTAAGTGGGTCATAGACCTACATTTAGGAGTTAAAACATAAAACTCATAGAAGAAAACATAGGAATAAATA